TGTGATGGTCTGTGATTTGTCCAAGGCAGACTCTCTCGTCTTGCCAGGATCTCTTGTCTCTTACCTTGAGCCCAGGTCACCAGTTTACGGTTTGATTGGAAAGGGACATCATGCTTAGAAAGATGGAGGGTCAGCAAAGGAGAGGAAGACCTCCAGCAAAATGGATTGACACTGTGACTTGGGCTGTGGTGTCTCAGAGATGACGAGGATGGCACAGGATAGAGCAGGTTTCAGAATGGCTGTTCATAGGGTCACTGTGAGTCATGCTCGACTCGACGGCACCTAACAACAACAACAACCCTGAAATGGGACTCCTGTTGATGAAATTACTTTCATTCAAAAAGAAATCCCTGTCACCACTGCTATTTCCCTTCATCTATATTGAAACTTGATGATTACCTTTTTCTATTTATAGTCCGGGTAAATATTTCTCTTTGAACTCCTGAAGTCATCACTTAGCGACTCTCATTTTCATTATGTTGCTTCCTCTTGTTCCACTGAAAACTCCCTTGGCTTTTCCTCTGTCACTCTTGGGCCAAGCATCCTTTATTCTTCAGCCTCATGATATGCCATCCTACTTACAGAATGCCTTTCTCACTCCTTCCTCTTCTTTCTTCACTGCAGACAGAGGTGGGCTGACCCTATGTCCCAGGCCCACAAAGTTCTAAAGTAGGGGCACCCTGCAGATGAGTAAACATTTTACCTTGCTAACCCTGCCTGCTCCTTTCCAAAGGCAACAGGAAAACCTGGGACTGGGAGCCCCTGGCAAAATAAAAACTGGAGAAAGAGAAATTTGGAGCGTGGTAAACATACTCTGTTTCAAATATTAATTTTCTCATTAAAAGATCTTTCGTTTTCTTCTTGTTCATTAGAACAAGAGGAGGAAGAGAAGGTGAGATGTAATGTGGGATGATTTGCTTTTATTGCTTCTCCTAGCAGGCAGCAACATATGGATCTGTGACAACTTCTTTCAAATCAAGAGTCACCTCTACTTTGGGGAGACAGCTTTTAACACGTAATCTCCCAGTACCAGCTAAACGAACAGATGTGGCATTTCTAAGCAGAGTTGGCTAGTGGATTTGAGGAAGATACTTCTTTCCCAAAGTTTCATTACACCAGTTCTCCAGACATTAGGCAAGATGCCTTCAGGGTGTTTTCTTTCTCTGACATTTCTATATTTTGTTTTAAGTCATTTTGTACTTTTCATCCTTGACATCACCCGTTAGCATCTCAGAAATGAAATCTCATCTGGTCAACCACTGTATGCCAAAGGTGGTATATTCCGTATGTCTTTTAAATACAAAGTGCTCCCTGAGAGATGTAGATTAGGAATTAAAATCCACAGAGGTGGAGTGACTTTGCTGTTCACTCCATTAATAAAAGCTATAGTGAAGGTTGTAAATCAGGTTCCCAAATATAAAGATCCTGCACTTTCTAGCCTACCATGTATACACTCTACTTGCTTATTCTCTTTGTATTTAACTATGGACACATAAACCAATGCCTTGGTTCTGTCCTCAGAGCCTCTACCTTTTCTTCTGTAATTCCAGCTCATCATTTGGTCATTTATTAGACACTAGGTAGGAGTAGAGTGGCCAGATGATGCAGACATTATTGTAGTTCCCAAGAAGAATACAATCTCTTGTTCTGGGCTGTTGTTGTACATATGATGCCTATCATATATTCCTTTTAAATAGTTCTTTCCTTCATCTGTTTCAATGCAGTGGTCATTATCTATCTATTCTTATACTTTTCTCCCCCCAACCCCCATGTCAGACTTGATTTATCACAGTAGTGCTATGCAGTATTTGTCCTTTTGTGACTGGGATATTTCATGCAGCAAGATGTCCTCCAGAATACCCCATGCTTGTAATGTTTTACTAGTTCATTGATTTTTCAGTGCTTCATGGCATTCCATTGTAGGAATAAGCCATAGTTTTCCTATCCATTTGTTGTTGGGTACTTGAGTTGCTTCTATCTCTTTATCACTGTAAATAGCACAGCAATAGAATAAGAGGTATATCATTGCTAAGAGGACTGGGGGAGGGGGAGTTCGGTAATTGTGCAACAATCAATGAATATTTTAAAAAGTGAACTGGGGATGGGGAAAGGAGTGAGGAAGTAAACTGTGCAACAGTGAATGAGTGAAAATCTAACTTCTTTGTAAACATTCTTTAAAATCACAATTAAAATAAAATTTTTTTAAAAGGGGGGGGGAGGCATACGATGAAGTAGGGAAGAGATGATCCCAGACTGTAAACCAAATCCATTGACACTGAGTTCTTTCAGCTTAGAGCTAGTAGCCCATAGGATTTTTAAGGCTGTCAACATTTATGGAAGAAGATAGTTACATTTCTCTTCCATAGAACTGAATGAGTTCAAGCTACTACAGCATCAGCTGTACCCTTAACAATTGTGGCACCAGGACTTGACCAAAAACACAGATCACTCGAAAACCAGAGAGCGAGTGTCAAGTTTCATAGAATCTAAGGGAGTGCTGAGGAGAGACTGGTTAACAGGGCTATTAGAAAGCAGTGGTTAGTGTTCATTTGGATGCTCAGAATTACAGAAACATTGACTTGGACAGAGCATGGACAGTTCAGTCCCCTCCGTCGCCACATAGAGAAAGATGACTCAGAGCAGGTTACGTGGTACGTGGTACGTGGCTAAGATCCCGCAGCCAGTAAGAGCAGAATGACCGAGTGGGGAGGCTCTGACAGTTGCCCGAAGAACAGTTGTTCAGGGAGTTGGAGGAGTGGTGTGGGCAGCTGAAGCTGCCAGTTATACCAGCTGCTAATAGAGATCCGAACACATTCTAATTCCCCAGTGTCCGCAAAAGGGAACAGATTGTGTGGGATTCCTCCATTCATCTGGCTGGCTGTCCACCATGCTTATTTGAGGAGCTTGAATGGAGGAGGTGAAGGAGCCCTGGTGGCGCAGTGGTTTAAGCTCTTTGCTGCTAACTCTAAGGTGCTGGTTTGAACTCATGTGTCTCTGCAGGAGAAAGATGTGAATTTCACAGATGTGGATCTGCTTCTTTATAAAGTCACAGAAATCCTAAAAAAGTTCAACTAAAAGCCAAACCCCCTGCCCACTCTTGAGTTGATTCTGACTCATATTGACACTTCAGGTTGCCTGTGCTGTGAAATTTTACAGCCGGAAAGTGTCCGTCTCTCCCTCTCAGCTGCTGGAGGAGTCTCTTCTGGCCTGTAGGGCTGCTGTCAGTGTGAATTGACAATCTCAAAGTTACGGTGACCACAGAGATCCTCTAGCCGAAAGGAGGATCTGTCCTTTTAAAATGAACATCTTTTATTCATGCCTGCCTCCCTTTCTTTCTCTTCCCACCTGCCTCATTCCTCATCCTACATTGAAAATACACTCTTAATTAGACAGTCTTTTCCCCTATCACTACAGCTTTATCTGTGCCAAGAATGTTGGGTGTATTCCAGAAAAATTCCAGGGAGACAAGGGATAGTGAGTAAAAAGATCTAGAGAGTATCTGTTTAGCTAATTCCTGGCTTCCGAGAGTAAATCTAGAAATTTCTTGGTAGGCGCTTACCAAGTACCCAACTAAAACTTACAATATCTTGCCAGTCAGATAGAGTCGGATCTCTGGTGGTGTTGGTGGAGAAAGGGGAGGGAGGGGCTAGAGAGCTAAGGTACAGGACAGTGAGTCCCGCGATCTGGTGGCTCTAGGGACTACTTAACACCGGTTGATCTTGGACCAATCTTTTTGCCTCTTCATTTTTTATTTCCTTGTCTATGAGTGAGGAACTTAATATCATGATTGTGTGGTGTGTTGTAGTAACTTAATAAATTAACGCTTAGGTGCACTCAGCAGCCTGGCATAGAGCCGTTGTAGATTTTGTTTGTTATTAACTATTACATAGCATTTTATGGTGCTCTGGTGGCACGATGCTTTGCATCTCTAACCAGAAAGTCAGTAGTTCTAATCCCCCAGCTGTTCCACCAGAGAAAGATAAGCCGTCTCCTGCTGGTCACATTTACAGCTTCAGAAGCTCCACGCAGGCTCTCTGTGTTCAATCTACCGGGACGGTGATGAGTTTTCACTTATTATGTAGGAGTTAACAGTGTAAAAAGAAGTGCTTTTGTTTCAGCACTAGTGAGCGTAGCACCGCCAAATAAAAACACCAGAGCCTCACTGTATTGCTTTTTAAGTGTTTTATCAATGACTCTTTGTAACCTGGCAAACACCTCCCATCCTTCAAGTCTCAATTCCCTTATCTATTCAAGTGGAGTAGTCAGAATGACGATCTTTAAAAGCTTGGCCAACTTGGCTATGGAGTGTGTCTGTTGCTCCAGCAGAGAAAGCTGTGGGAGTCTGCTTTTGGAAAGGTGGCAGCCTTGGGTAATTCTTCTCTGTCCCACACGGACGAATGGCCTGGAATTGACTCCACAGCTACAGTTCTGATAGTTTGACTTGAATTGAAGACATGTAGTCAAAGCTCAAGGACTTCATTAGTGACAGCCCTTCTAAATGAGCATTTTCGATTCATCCTTAACTTTCTCTTTCTCCTCCCACCTGCTGTCATGCACTGTCTAAGACTTAAAATACACTTTCAACCAAAAAGCCCTCCTAGTCACTCAATTGCTTTTTGTCAGAACTGGTTATATCCAAGTTATTGTTATGTCTATTGTTGTTTCTTTTCCCTAAAGTACTTAGTTTTTAAACAAAAATCTGTCTGTACACTCGGTATTCAAAACCAATTAAGAAGGAATCTACATGGGTAGGAAGAGTGGGAAGGATCCCCAAAACTCAGCTCCCTGGGCCCTGCATGTCCCTTGCTTCTCTTCTCCTCTTGACCTGTGGGATGGTCCCAGGGGCACCTCGTAGTGACTGCAAAGCATCCTACAGAGCACAGTTTCAAAGGCACAGAGCTAAAAAAAAAATCTGACTTTTTTTTTATTGGATAAAAATATTTAGGGCTCTTCATCTTTTGTCCTTTATTCACTCATCTTTCTCTTTTGGGGCCACCCAGGGCTATATGACAAATGTTCTTATACCTCGCGTGACCGAGGATGGGTCGTGGGCATTCACACCGTCAGTGACCAAGGCAACAGAGACCCACGCTACTTTTTCTCCTTGAAGACAGACCGGGCCCGGCAGGTGACCACCATCCACGCGCATCGCAGCTATCTCCCAGGCCAGTGGGTGTACCTCGCAGCCACCTACGATGGGCGGCTGATGAAGCTGTATGTGAACGGCGCCCAGGTGGCAACATCCGGGGAGCAAGTGGGTGGCATCTTCAGCCCCCTCACCCAGAAGTGCAAAGTGCTCATGCTGGGGGGCAGCGCGCAGAACCACAACTACCGGGGCTACATCGAGCACTTCAGCCTCTGGAAGGTGGCCAGGACTCAGCGAGAGATCCTGTCGGACATGGAGACCCACGGCCTCCACACCCCTCTACCTCAGCTCCTCCTCCAGGAGAACTGGGACAATGTGAAGCGCACCTGGTCCCCCATGAAGGATGGTAGCAGCCCCCAGGTGGAACCCAGCAGTGCCCACGGCCTGCTGCTGGACACGAGTCTGGAGCCACCTCTGTGCGGGCAGACCCTGTGTGATAACAAGGAGATCATCGCCAGCTACAACGAGCTGCCCCGCTTCCGCCAGCCCAAGGTGGTGCGTTACCGGGTGGTCAACCTGCGGGACGATGCCCGGGACCACCCAACCGTGAGCCGCCAGCAGATTGACTTCCAGCACCGGCAGCTGGCTGAGGCCTTCAAGCACTACAACATCTCCTGGGAGTTGGACGTGCTGGAGGTGAGCAACTCCTCCCTGCGCCACCGCCTCATCCTGGCCAACTGTGATATCAGCAAGATCGGGGACGAGAACTGCGACCCTGAGTGCAACCACACGCTGACCGGCCACGACGGCGGGGATTGCCGCCACCTGCGCTACCCGGCCTTCGTGAAGAAGCAGCACAACGGGGTGTGTGACATGGACTGCAACTATGAGCGATTCAACTTCGACGGCGGTGAGTGCTGTGACCCCGACATCACTGATGTCACCAAGACGTGCTTTGATCCTGACTCTCCACACAGGTAAGATCTGAGCGGGCAGATGGGGGCTCCCCATGGCATCCCCATAACATTAGCCGAACAGCCAAAGCTCCTAGTGGTCATAGTTGCTTAGGGAAGAAGTCAGGTCTGTTACTCAAACAATCTTGGCGAGGACATACAAGCAAGTTCATTACAAAGATACCCATTGAATGCAACTGTGGGTTAAGAAGGGAGACTAAGAATCTTAACTTTCAATGAATCCAAACTCTAAGCTGGATAACGTAGATTGAACACTAGTAGCTGTCGTAGTATGTGCAGTAGACTGAAGTGAAGCTGTTCTATACTCTGTGGCTTTAAGCTATGGGTGACTAGTTATGTTGGTTAACGTTAAGTAAAATTTAAAGTCTTTAAAAAAAGATATGGAGCTTCTACTAGTCAAGTTCTTCCTAGTCTATCATTTACCAAATGAAGAGAACCTTCCACTTCCTTAAAAAAAGAAACAAATACTCCCTCCTCCCCCCCAAAAAAGGTAAGTTACCTAGTCACTCTAGATGTTTTCCAAGACCTCAGTACCTGCATGGGGCTTGGAGTGCTGGACAGCAACACTTTCCTCACTGCACAATCTCCTGTTGGGAAGCACTGATAGGTACCAAGTGCTTGAGTCAAAAAATCTAGGTTCACATCTCATTTTTGCTACTTCCTTACTTTGTGAACTCTTTGAACTTCAGTGTTCTTTTCTGTAAAATGGACTGGTACCTACTTTGCCAAGTTGCTGAGAAGATTGTTCAAGACAGGCACGTAAAGCATAGTCTCTTATAGTTGATGATGTTGTTCATCCCTATGGAGTCAGAACCAACTCTAGCTGACCCTCCAGTGGGTTTCTGGAGGCTGTAAATGGCACAGGAAGAGACTGCCAGTCTTATGCCTGTGTCACAGTTGGTGGACTTGAACTGCTTGCCTTTGAGTTGGCAGCGTAACTCCTTACCCATTAGGACACCAAAACACATAATAAATGTTCAAGCATGTTAATTGTTGTTAATTTCATAGCAAAAGGGAGACGGTGCTCTGTTCAAGCAGAGTTACCGGGAAGCAAAGAGAAAAAGTTGACTCGTACCTTAAATGTATCAGGGAAGCCTTCCTTAAAAGGTGGCATTTGAGCAAGTTCACTAATATAAGAAGTATAATGTGGACTTCAGAGATTGAACTGAGGGGGAAGGGAGGGGACTCCAAGCAGAGAGAATTGCATATACTGTTGAAGAGAGGATGAAACAGGGGCTGTCAGTCTAATATCTTCCTTCGCCACTTCTGTGGGCTTTCAACTGTAACTAGCAACCCCAGAGGGAGCTTTAAAGGTGAACCTGTGGACAACCTTTATTGAGTGGGAGACAGGAGGAAATAGTTCCAAGCCAGAGAAGCAGTCAGCGTCCACTCCCCTGTATTTTCCAGATTCACGCTGGACTTTTCTGTTCAACACACAGGACCCTGGACTTGCTGATGGCTCGAGCACATTTGCCGACCTCGGCAGGTTTTCTGCTGACTTCCCTCTTTGTGGCTCTCTCAAAAGAGCAAGGGCCTCTCGTACACAGACAAAATACCTATGTGCAAAGGAATGACGATGCTGGCAGGAGAATGTCGTGCCTGGCAGAAAGCCAGAACACACGTCAGCTCGGCTTCCTGGCACCAACCTGGCCCCTGGACTCTCACCTTGGCTGAGAGACATGAGCGGGCCATGTGAGAAGCCCTAGTGCGCGGCGGCCGGTCCCATGCAGGTCATGCTGCACTTTCACCTCTGCTCTCATTTGGGCCTTACCAGAACTTGGCAAGGGAGAGAAGGCAGAGGTTAGCATTTGCATTTGACGGATGGGGAAACAGAACTTTAGAGAGTGAAATGACTTGGCCAAGGTCAGGGAAATCATTAGGCTAAGACCCAGTCGCTGGTCTTCTGAGATCAGCACAGAGGGTGCTCCATTGAGCTATCCTACCAGGAGGGACCTGTGTGCCCCAGCAGAATGAGGGTGGAAGAGAGGGCAGAGTTGTGCATAGTTGAGAGTCATCCATGCATTCATCCATTTATTTATTTATTCATTCATTCATTCATGCAACAAATGTTTATTCAGCACCTGCCAAGTGCTAGGATGGTGGTACCTCTACCCTATTTTACTGAAAGAACCCCATCTTTCAGAAAGGGGAAGGGACTTCCACAAAGTCACCCAGGTCTGCTGACTCCACGGCTCCCACAACGGGGATGTTTTCACCCTTTTATTGTATATTGTCTTTCCCTAAGGTAGATATTTTTCAAGCTCAATGAGAAGTTACACCAGTTGCCATCAAGTCAGAGGTAATGCATGGCTAACTCTCCGTCAGGTTCTCAGAGGCTGTAAATCACACGAGAGGAGATGGTCCATTTTTCTCCCCTGGAACCGTAGGTTGAATTCTGTGCCGTGGTGACAGGCAGCGTGGTTTTACTAAGAGTTTAACTGAGAGCAAACTGCTGACTATGGAGTGAGAACTTAGGGCAGCTGGACTTTCTAGGTGCTGTGCTGGTGCAGAGGAGCCACGGGATCCTTCACCATCAGCAGACAGGGCTGCCTGGCTCCAATGACCCTGTCTTTTCTAAATCACGGGACTCCTATGCCCAGAATTTCTGTGAACTGCCATGTGTCATCGCTGTGACCGCTCATGCCAGGACCTGTTTGTTTGCTGGCTGGGAAAGCTGTGTGCCCGGGTGAGTCCCGCCAGACAATGTGCAGTCTCCTGATGGGGTGGAGTTACTGGGTTCTGGCCAAATCGGCTCAGCTTTTCGAAGGGAGAAACCTGTGGAAGTTTGCAGAGAAGTATTCCTTGTCCCTTTACATGAAAAGAAAGAAGGGGTGATGGGTGGAGTAGAAGAGGAAGTCATGGAAAGGGTCAAGAGGAGAGGCATAGAAGGAGTAAAGGAAGACCCCTGTAACAGAGCTGTGAAAATGAGCTGAACATTGTCTAGGTGACTTTTAATGAATAGTGTTGTTACTGTGTGCCATCGAGTTGATTACAACTTATAGCGACCCAGTGAACAACAGATGTAATGAAAAACAACTCAATTCTAACATAAGCCTCTTTTTTTCTCTCCTCTTTCCTTCTTTTTCCCTCTTCTACATCCCCTCTCTCTGTGTGTTTCCTTCAATCTCCCCTCCTCCCTTTTATATTTTTATAAAGATAGACAGAAAGGGCAACCTAGGTAGAACTATCAAGTATGGAAATACAAAGGAGGAGGAACAGTTGTAAGCAGACCCTAGTGATTGGTACATGGAATGTGAGA